AGATGAAACCAAAATAGAACTTTTTGGTAAAAACTCAACTCGTTGTGTTTGGAGGACAAAGAATGCTGAGTTGCATCCAAAGAACACCATACCTACTGTGAAGCATGGGGGTGGAAATATCATGCTTTGGGGCTGTTTTTCTGCAAAGGGACCAGGACGACTGATCCGTGTAAAGGAAAGAATGAATGGGGCCATGTATCGTGAGATTTTGAGTGAAAACCTCCTTCCATCAGCAAGGGCATTGAAGATGAAACGTGGCTGGGTCTTTCAGCATGACAATGATCCCAAACACACCGCCCGGGCAATGAAGGAGTGGCTTCGTAAGAAGCATTTCAAGGTCCTGGAGTGGCCTAGCCAGTCTCCAGATCTCAACCCCATAGAAAATCTTTGGAGGGAGTTGAAAGTCTGTGTTGCCCAGCGACAGCCCCAAAACATCACTGCTCTAGAGGAGATCTGCATGGAGGAATGGGCCAAAATACCAGCAACAGTGTGTGAAAACCTTGTGAAGACTTTAAAAAAACGTTTGACCTGTGTCATTGCCAACAAAGGGTATATAACAAAGTATTGAGAAACTTTTGTTATTGACCAAATACTTATTTTCCACCATAATTTGCAAATAAATTAATAAAAAATCCTACAATGTGATTTTCTGGAAAAAAAAATCTCATTTTGTCTGTCATAGTTGACGTGTACCTATGATGAAAATTACAGGCCTCTCTCATCTTTTTAAGTGGGAGAACTTGCACAATTGGTGGCTGACTAAATACTTTTTTTCCCCACTGTATGTGTTAAGCTTCTCTACACCTTTTGTGTGTTTGCATGCGTGATTGTGTCTGTGCATCACTCCCGCTCATCACGGATTTTATGAACAGATTTCTGCTGTGTTATTTCAACCGGCGTGCACACCAACATCTATTGGCGGTGTGTGCGATGCCTAAAGCCAGTCTATAGCTTTTTAATTCATGGCTCATCCAACTGACTCAGTTAGCCCTGAAATTCTGGGATTGTTAGGTATATCGGCCATTGTCGCTTTCCAGTTGAATAGCAATACATCTCGCCATCTCCAAAATAATCCCTTACACCATTGTGTAGCAGTTGCGAGGGTGCCACGGAATGTTAATACCAAGGTTTTCTTTTTAAGGTGAGAGTATGGCATGGCATGAGAACAACTTATTTTTCCATGGGTAGCCACAATAACAAGATTATGCCTTCCCTCTGTGGGTGTTTTGTGCAAGCATTCGAGAGGTGGCCTTGAAGCCAGAAGTTGAAAGAAATTTGAGATCGTTGACGCCATCTCTCCCAATTAACACAATAATGTCCAGACCTGTGTTCAAATAGTATTGGTTTTCCTTCAAATACTTAGAACGTTTGATTGGGCCTGCCTGGAGTGATAGGTGGGCAGGGTTTGCACTTTGGGGACTATTCCATTGTTTCCATTGTACCAGACAAGCTCAAATGAAGAATTTAGAAGACAACGTACTATTTTAACACGGGTCTTGTGCTGTATTCTCAAACTAAATTCAAGCACATGAAAAGTACAGGATCTCTTATAAACTGATTATTTGTGCCAATCTCCTATCAACGCCTCATTTTCCTCTGCTGTACGATGCAGCAGTCTTTAAACCACAAATTATTATCTCCCCTCAGACAACAGCTGTTGTGCCGGCGCTCCAAAACCTGGCTGTCTTCACCATCCGTCTCTATCTCGTCTACCCATCACTTTCCCCTCAGCTCACCCCCAAAAATGATAGCTTCCTTGAAGTGAAGGCCAATTTTCTCAGTTGGCAAAAGTTAGTAGACTTCAACCGTACGAAGCGAGGAAGTACACAACCAGGCTCCCTCAGTTACTCGTAAATCAATGAAGAAAGTGTTGCGAGACGTGTATAACCCAGTGTTGATCAGAAGGCTTCAATGGGATGCTACTCTTCAAAGCCTGCCGAATTCAGATGATGTACTTCATTCAACACACCCAGGAACCACTGATGAATGGAATCAATTATATCAGAATAAAAGGCTTCTGAGAAAAATCTGACAAGGTATCGCCTTGGAAATCCATTTGAAGTTTGTGAAATGCGTAATGTAATGCATAATAGCTGATGTTGGGAAGGGGAGTATCTTTTGATCAAGTGTTTCTAAAAACTTTGTTGTTACTACCCCTTTGTCTGCTTTGTCTCTGATCTGAAACAGCCTCCAGTGCTATGATGCATACAGTCAGAGCAGAACTGAGTTACATATTACAATGTAAAGCTATTGTTCAATGTTAACACGTTTTGGTAGGTTGACAGAGCGCACTGGCAGGTGCATGGGTTTCAATTCATATACTGCACATGTTATCCCAGATGGAATTCTCTTGCATCACTGTCGACACTTTCACCCCTTATAAGGTTCTTTAAATGGTCCTTTTTCTTCTAATTTGTCTCTGTCCAGAGCTGGAGGTGGCCCGGATGAGTACGGAAGGAAATCTGCCCGACCTGAAATTCCCACAAAGTGGCGGCCATGGTAACTCCATCTCCCTGTCATCGAGCACCTTGAAACAACATGGGAGAAACGGTAAATGGCTTTGCCTTGAATAAATAAATAAAATATCAGGGGTCTCCAACTCCAGTCCTGAACAACTATTTGGTGTGCAGGCTTTTGTTCCATTCCATCAGTTAGTGCTGGGCTGGAACAAAAGCCTGCACACCCAGTAGCTCTCCTGGACTGAACATCCCTGTCTGAGATAAGTCTGTCATTGATAATTACATGCATAGTTTGCTTCTTTTCTGATGCCATAAGAGTGTATGAAAAGTTTTTTCTTTGTAACCAGTAAAGGAGAAAACGGCTCTAATATCTTAAAGGGGCAATTTGTGTCTCAAACAACAACAAAGCTGGCACTCTGTTTTTGCTCACCATTAGCTAAGGTTTTGAAAAAGTAGGTCAATTCAATAGGAACAAATGTATAAGCTGCTTTGACATGCATTGAAGGTTACGAGGAGGGGCTCGGGAGTTAAAACGTGCCCCTTTGCAGGGTCTGGTCTGAATGAGAAATATAACTTCCCCGCAGCTAATTAAACTTGCATACCACCTGCTTCTAACAGGCTGTTAAGAGCATGGGTTGCTTACCGTTAGCATGTTTTTTGCGTGTGCAGAGTTAGGGTGCCTTCAAACCAAAACGCAGGTCCGACGCGGCAAAGGATTCCGTAAAAAAACTGTTTTCAATTGGTTGACAGATACGTTGTCGCTACTGTTTTGACAGACAGCGCAGTGCAACACTAGGCCCTCCCCCAACGCACTGCTCTTAGTGAAAACCATTAAGTTGCTGCGTTATTTACATGTCCGTTTGTCTGGTTTGAATGCACCCGTATAAGTTGTAAGTACCAGTGTAACCACTTGTACCCGTTACACAGTAATTTAATAGTTTCCCTGGAATAACATCAATATAATTCCAAGTGTTCCAAAATGGTGTTAGAAGCCGGTGACCAACCCTCCTCCAGGAGAGAGATACTGGATCTACCAGGGTTTTGTGCCAACCCTGTTATAACACAGCTGATTCTGCCTACTATCAAGGTCATGGAAAGCAGTTAATTAGTAGAATCACGTGTGCTAGATAAGGGCTGGAGAGAAAGCAGAAGGGAAGCTCTCCAGGAGGGAGGTTGGCCACCCCTGATACAACCTCTGATAAAGTAAAGCACCTTTATACCGACTTCAAATGGACAAAAGAGGGTCCCTGGTTGCGGAATTAGTTGTGTTCAAGAGCTGCTTCAGACTTTAATGAGGCTATTATACACAATGCGGGGCTACCTACGGGAGCTCCACGGCCCATTTTTGGACTTGATTACTTGTTCATGCAAATGAGTTAGGCTGTTAGCGCGTGCTCTCGGCTCTCGATGAATGTCCAGCGGTGCCTGATGTTTCATTATATCTCAATGTGCTTTTATTTCCCATTTATTGAGAGGTAACATACAAATTGTTTTCTTTTTTCGAGTGAGTGATCCAAGTTGCGGCGGGAGGGGAGTGTGCTTTCATATACGCCGTCTAAAGAAAGACGCCAGGAAAGGGATAAGGTAGTGCAATGGTAGTCGGGAAAGAAACAAGGAAGTGTAACTGTTGCCTTTGTCAGTGCAATAAAGTAATAATGACAATGATTTCATTGAAGTTGAATTAAATCGACCTATTGTACCTACGGAGGTATTTCTTTCAGCCTCAACACCTTTATTGCTCTTGATAACATGCTCGGAGCAGCGAATGTGTTTGAAACATTTTCTCTATAGGTTGTCCAAAATAGTTTCAACTCTATAATCCTGTGGAATCAAACCGTACCTCAAAATACATATAATCTGCACTTATCCTTATTTTTAAAAGTCTTATGAATATATGAATTTGAATAAGTTAAGTAGTTGTTGTGTGCTCCAAGACTTTGTTGAACCGTAACATTTGACATCTGTAGGTTGAACTGTAGCATGTCCAATGCCGTTATGTCCTTGAGCAGGCACTTAACCCCAAAATGGTTCCAAAGGTCGGCTGCACTATGGCTGACCCTGTGCTCTTCAATGTGTGTGGGTTTCTCGTAGGCATATAAAACCTTGGCAACATCTAGCCTAGGTTTACAAACGTTTTTATTTATGGAAAAAAACATATGTTGACCTGAGGGTAATTTTTCACTTTGAGATTTTGTTTGGTTTTCTGGCGCTAATGTCTCTGCTACTTTAACCTCGATTTGCCCTGTTCAGTCACATGTACAATAACATTATATTGAATGGTTAAACAGTTTAACCACATACTTTCAGTTCGTCAGTGGTGGCAATGGCTCTGTCTCAAGTCTCAATTGCCTTAAAAATTCTCCTTTCCTTCATCGCTCTGATCTGAAAGAACTGACCTGGTGAAAGCCAGCCTAGTGATGAGCTTATGCCATATTGTTTTCACCTGTCACTACAGACAAAGGGGAGGAGATGAGGAGAGGACGGATTTTCAAGAAATTGTGACTGAGCCATGCTGTATTATTTTTCCTAGGAGAGATCCGGATGGCCTTCGTCCTGTACAAACACATCGGAGCCTACCTGTCTACAGAGAATGCCAGCATGAAGCTGGGCAGGGAAGCCATGGCCACCAACTATTCTGTCATTGTCAACTCTCCCGTCATCACCGCAGCCATCAACAAAGAGAACAACAAAGTCTACCTGTCTGAACCGGTCATATTTACCTTGAAACACCTGCAGGTAGGACACACACATATCAGTATCATATCAGTATAGCTGGTCTGAGTGAAGGTCGGCCTACATTACAAAGGAATAAGAGACTCATTTCTGCTTCCATGTGTCTGGCTATACACACCTTTATGGGATTATAATGGGTTTCACTAATTCTCTTTCTTCAAGGGGCAATTTGGGATTGGTACATCCATTTTGGACTTTTAAATTAATGGAGTCACCCCATAGCCCCCATCTTCAAGTTTTACCTCATTTTCTTTGGCAAGAAGAAAGCATAAATAACAAAGAGAATCTTTCATAACATATTGATGATGCAAAACTTTGTTTTCATTCATTTCTCCCTATTAGTTTTAGAACAGAACAGTCTAACCTGGAAGGCTGAGCTAATATGAGCGTTCTATTGTTCGTCCCTGAAGGCTGGTTAGTCATAGGCGGAGCATTAACTCCCCCCCCCCCCGACTGCATTATCTTCCCCTCGCACGACTCCATGAAACAGCCCCGGTTTGTCTCCCAACGGCGCCCAACTCTGTTATTAGGGAGGGAGGGCGGGAGAGAGGGAGGGAGAGAGGGAGGGAGAGAGGGAGATATAGAGGAAGAGAGCGAGAGAGGGAGAGAGAGAGAGATTTTTCTAAATGAAGTGGGAAATGTCACAGTTGGGGTCAATGCAGTTATTACCGGGGACCAACTGCCTTTCGCTTAAGACACGGTGCTAGAACTGTCTGAGAATAATGGAGTCCGCCGTTTTTCTTGCCCCACTGGTCTAATCTCAATAAAACAATGCTCTTATATACAGTAAGTTTGTGGTTCCCTAGACTCCTCCCAAGTGCACTTCTGACAGTGAGGACATGTCTTATTCTGAACAGCTGTTTGCTCTGTCTTCTAAAAAGTTGATTATTTTAAAGAGTATTCTAAGATTCTTCTAAAGAATATTCTAAACAGATTAACTGAATCTATATGGATGGTTCTATAACTTCAGGTATGCACACACTAGAGTATTAATGGATAGGAGTACTTCTCATAGCCTGGTTCCAGATCTGTTTCTGCTGTCTTGCCAACTACTATGGTCATTGTCATGCCAAACGTGACAAAAACTGACTTATCCTATGAGAAGGATAGCCTGGGTTCAGATCTATTTGTGTCGTCTTGGCAACTACTATGTTAATTGTCATCAGTGATGTAGTGGTAAAGAAAAAAGGTGGGTAAACTTGATCGCCGGTCGCAGTGAATAAAGTAACGCTCCTTATACTTGCAATGCATTCTTCCGCAAAAGGTGGGTAAACTGCGTTTAATTCAATTTACCCTCCACTACACCACTGATTGTCATACAAAACACCACCATAGTACTTGGCTAGACACCATAAACAGATCTGGGACCAGGCTATACTGCTATTCACTGTAGTCTTTTGTTCCATCGCTCTACAATGAAAAGCCCTTAGATCAGAGGTGTTGGACCACTGGTCCCAGGGGACTGTGGTTGTCCTCTAGTTATTGTTTCGCTTCCTTGCCTCAGCACTTAATGGATTAATTAAAGTTGTTAATGGGACAGAAGGTCACCTGGTCTGGTTATTCCTTGCAGTGCTGCACTGTATCCAACTAGCCATTGGTTGGCTGTGTGTAGGTTAACTCAATAAGATGGGACATTTATGTCTGGAGAGGATCTGCTGATTTATGGATGTGTCACAAATGGCATCCTACTCCATATACAGTGCCTTACGTTTGATCAGAGCCTTATATGGTGCCATTTGGGATGCAGGCCATGTTCCACAGTCACAGTTTTGCTTGCATTGTGAGAAGCAGCCAGATTGTCTTCTGCTATGGACAATTCCCTTAAACACACATAGGATTAAGGTGCAGTTGAAGTGGTCAGGCAATATCTAGGTGCAAGAGATGGCGGATTTCCACATCAGGGAAACTTATAGCCAGAAACTTTACCTGTTGAAAACTATTTGAGTCCTTCCTATGCATTGGCACGTCTCTCCTCTCACGCTTTATCTGCATTAAGCTCTTAAGTGACTGTTTTAAAACGGGCCAGGGGGATGGCAGGCGACGCTAGCCGTTAAGGCTGCCGCTTGGCAGAGAGCGGCGGTGGCGGCCATTAAACAGTGGGGCAGTCTATTGTCGCACAGTGAAGGTTAAAGTGAAATGTCGAAAAACACAATGAAAGGCTGCTCCACCGCCGCTCGCCGCCGCCATTAAACTAAAACAAAGACCGCCACCGGAAAAGGGAATTAGGGGGCTTTTTCTTAAATATTTCATCTGGATCTAGAGTTATGGCATTGTGGCGTGTTGAGGTTATGGGAGTTTACCTGGAATTAGCCCCATGCGTTTCCGTTTAACCCAGCCAGAACCTTTTAGAAAAGAAACATGAGTCAACCTGCAATCAATGTGTGTGTGTTTTTCCTCCCATTAGCTCCATTATGCTGGGGCCCATAGGCTAATTGTTATGTGATTTGTCCCCCACAGCAATCCAAGGAAAGCTTCAACCCCAACTGTTCTTTCTGGAGTTACTCCAAGCGGACCATGACGGGCTACTGGTCGACGCAAGATTGCCGGTTGCTAGGCACCAACAGGACTCACACAACGTGCTCTTGTACCCACCTGACCAACTTTGCAGTCCTCATGGCTCACGTGGAGGTCAAGGTAAGGCCTGTTCCACCATCTCCTCGTCCCGTAGAAGCAATTAAAATTCCTCAAGTAGTAGAAGATGGAGAGCTCTGTTTTGCGACCTTCAAAATACACATTCTACAAAAAGAAAAGTGCCACGTTTGAGTGGCACAGAGTTAAGATCCAAATCTAAGAGCATTTTTTTGTGCCGAAAGCATCCTTAGTGTTGTGTGTATTAATTGTGTCCCCTTGCCTTGTGCTAGGCCTTGTTTGAAGTAGTTGGAGAGAGTGGCCCTTGCAGGAGGGAAATTCATTTAGACCTTTAAGAGTTCTAGCTAAGAGGCTTCCATTCAATCGTCTGCATACCTACTATGCTTGAAAGCATTTAGAATACCTGAATGCATTGTTGATGAATTGAAGGAGAATCAGCATCTGTTTAAGTTGTGTTGGGGCTGGGTACTGAGACAGCGTAAATTAACACATTTACATTTTCTGTGTATAATGGACCGATAACGATAAAGATTGTATTTATGTGCCTCCTAAAATATGTGGGGTTGTTGGTGTTTGTTATTGTGCTTTTAAGTGTCTCACTGTGATGCTTATTTCCGAGATTACTTTTCAATTGATGTTATTTCGTCACATTGAAGCAAATATATTGCTACTTAATTTTTTTTGACTTTGACGTTTATTTTAAATTTTGTAATTTTTTTGTATTACTTCTTTTTTCTTCTTTTTTTTTGGGGGGGGGGGGGGGGGTAGATCAGCTTAAAATTTCAGATAGATTGTAACTTCCATCAATGTAATTGTCTGCATCACTTCCAATCCCCCATGTTTTATATATATATACTTGGATTTCCAAGATGGCGTACTAGTGCAGTCCTGTTTTTGTCATGTGTCTGTAAATAGCCCGTAAATACCCTGTTTTTTTTTGTATTTTTCGTACATATTTTCCTATCAGACTTTTCATCCTTCTACAAAATATACTTTCCTGCAACCCGCCTCACAAAACGTGGAACGGATTATATTATTGACTTACCTTTTATCTAGAATCTCCAGTTGAAACTAGCTAGCCAGCTAACTAGCTACTTGCTATTAGCCACAGTTGCTATTTCACCCAGAACATTGGATTTTCTGCCGGAATAATTTAATCACTGGACATTAATAACCGGATCGCAACTAGCTAGCCGCAACCGAATGGATGTTGCTGTTTGGCTAATCACCACTGCCCCCGATGCAAGCACCAGTTAGCCTCGAGCTAGCCTAGAGTCAGGCTCATATCCTGGCTATCTACCTCTAGGTCTACCGGACGGGAGTAGCCAGCTAACTAGCTACTTGCTACCGTTAGCGGTTTTTCACCATTGTCCGTGGCCTGCACCACCTACCAGCCAGCTCTAGTCCGGACTATTATTCGGCCAGTCTGCACAGCGCGTTATCGACCCAGAACATATCAGTTTTTCTGCCGGAATCACTGAATCACTGGACCTTTAACTCCGGATTCATCGCTACCAGCTAGCTGCTACAAAATGGACGTTGAGGTCTGGCTAATCATCCTGAGCTAGGCCCATCTCCCATCTCCCGGCTATCTACCTCTCTGTCAACCGGACGGGACCACCTAGTGTTGACACGGAGCCCCGCCGATCCAACATGACTGGTTTGCCGACGAAATAGTCTGATGTGGTTTCAACAGGCTTCCCGTTGCGACGACCACGAAGATCCATCTGCCAGCCCCGGCCCACTAGCACACGCAAACTACAACTGTGCTCCCTGCTAGCTGTGCTGAAGCACCAATTTGAACTGCTCTCGGACTCACATATTGCTGTTCACTGGACCTTATGATCACTCAGCTGCACAGCTGATGCCTGCTGGACTGTTCCTTTACACGGTACCCTGTCCTGTTTATTCTGTTTAGTCTTAGCCCAAACGTTATCGCTATTTCCAGTTGTGTCTTAGCTCTCTCTAATAACACCTGTGACTGCTTTATGCCTCTCTCCCATGTCAATTATGCCTTGCCTATTGCTGTTTGGGTTAGTTCTTATTATACAATTTAACTGTAGAACCCCTAGTCCCTCTCAAACTGCCTCATATAGTTCCTTTGTTCCACCCCCCATACACGCCGAGACCGGCTCAATCGATGCCTCCAATGACACTATCTCTTTCATTGTTACCCAACGCTTAGGGTTACCTGAACTGTACTCATATCCTTCCATATCCTTTTCTGTACATAATGCCCTGAATCTTTTCTACAACGCCCGGAGAACTGCCCCCTTTATTCTATGTACCCAACGCACTAGAAGACCAGTTCTTAAAGCCTTTAGTCGTATCCTTATTCTAGTCCTCCTCTGTTCCTCTGGTGATGTAGAGGCTAACCCAGGCCCTGCAGCCCCCAGTATCACTCCTACTCCCCAGGAGCTATCATTTGTTGACTTCTGTAACCGTAAAAGTCTTGGTTTTCTGCACATAAATATCAGAAGCCTCCTTCCTAAGTTTGAGTTATTCACTGCGTTAGCACACTCCGCCAACCCTGATGTTCTAGCAGTGTCTGAATCCTGGCTTAGGAAGGCCACCAAAAATTCTGAAATTTCCATCCCCAACTATAACATTTTCCGTTTAGATAGAACTGCCAAAGGGGGTGGAGTTGCAATCTACTGTAGAGATAGCCTGCAGAGCTCCATCATACTATCCAGGTCTGTGCCCAAACAGTTTGAGCTTCTACTTCTAAAAATCCACCTTTCCAGAAATAAATCTCTCACTGTTGCCGCTTGCTACAGACCCCCGTCAGCCCCCAGCTGTGCCCTGGACACCATATGTGAATTGATTGCCCCCCATCTATCCTCAGAGTTCGTACTGCTTGGTGACCTAAATTGGGATATGCTTAACACCCCGGCCATCCTACAATCTAAACTAGATGCCCTCAATCTCACACAAATTATCAACGAACCTACCAGGTACAACCCTAAATCCGTAAACATGGGTACCCTCATAGATATCATCCTGACTAACTTACCCTCTAAATACACCTCCGCTGTCTTCAACCAGGATCTCAGCGATCACTGCCTTATTGCCTGCGTCCGTAACGGGTCCGCGGTCAAACGACCACCCCTCATCACTGTCAAACGCTCCCAAAAACACTTCAGCGAGCAGGCCTTCCTAATTGACCTGGCCCAGGTATCCTGGATGGATATAGATTTCATTCCGTCAGTAGAGGATGCCTGGTTGTTCTTTAAAAGTAATTTCCTCTCAATCTTAAATAGACATGCCCCATTCAAAAAATACAGAACTAAGAACAGATATAGCCCCTGGTTCTCCTCAGACTTGACTGCCCTTGACCAGCACAAAAACATCCTGTGGCGTACTGCATTAGCATCAAATAGGCCCCCGCGATATGCAACTTTTCAGGGAAGTTAGGAACCAATATACACAAGCAGTTAGGAAAGCAAAGGCTAACTTTTTCAAACAGAAATTTGCATCCTGTAGCACTAACTCCAAAAAGTTTTGGGACACTGTAAAGTCCATGGAAAATAAGAGCACTTCCTCCCAGCTGCCCACTGCACTGAGGCTAGGAAACACTATCACCACCGATAAATCTACAATAATCGAGAATTTCAACAAGCATTTTGCTACGGCTGGCCATGCTTTCCACCTGGCTACCACTACCCCGGCCACCAGCTCTGCACCCTCCGCTGCAACTTGCCCATGCCCCCACCGCTTCTCCTTCACACAAATCCAGACAGCTGATGTTCTAAAAGAGCTGCAAAATCTGGACCCCTACAAATCATCTGGGCTAGACAATCTGGACCCTTTCTTTCTAAAACTAGCCGCCGAAATTGTCGCAACCCCTATTACTAGCCTGTTCAACCTCTCTTTCGTAACGTCTGAGATCCCCAGAGATTGGAAAGCTGCCGCGGTCATCCCCCTCTTCAAAGGGGGTGACACTCTAGATCCAAACTGTTACAGACCCATATCCATCCTGCCCTGCCTTTCAAAAGTTTTTGAAGCCAAGTCAACAAACAGATCACCGACCATTTCGAATCCCACCGTACCTTCTCCGCTATGCAATCCGGCTTCCGAGCTGGTCATGGGTGCACTTCAGCCACGCTCTAGGTCCTAAACGATATTATAACCGCGATCGATAATAGACAGTACTGTGCAGCCGTTTTCATTGACCTGGCCAAGGCTTTCGACTCTGTCAACCACCGCATTCTTATTGGCAGACTAAATAGCCTTGGTTTCTCAAATGACTGCCTCGCCTGGTTCACCAACTACTTCTCAGATAGAGTTCAATGTGTCAAATCGGAGGGCCTGTTGTCTGGACCTATGGCAGTCTCTATGGGGGTGCCACAGGGTTCAATTCTTGGGCCGACTCTTTTCTCTGTGTATATCAATGACGTCGCTCTTGCTGCTGGTGACTCTCAGATCCACCTCTACGCAGACGACACCATTTTGTATACATCTGGCCCTTCATTGGACACTGTGTTAACAAACCTCCAAACGAGCTTCAATTCCATACAACACTCCTTCAGTAGCCTCCAACTGCTCTTAAACACTAGTAAAACTAAATGCATGCTCTTCAACCGAACGCTGCTTGCACCCGCCCACCCGACTAGAATCACTACTCTCGACGGGTCTGACCTAGAGTATGTGGACAACTACAAATATCTAGGTGTCTGGTTAGACTGTAAACTCTCCTTCCAGACTCACATTAAGAATATCCAATCCAAAGTTAAATCTAGAATCGGTTTCCTATTTCGCAACAAAGCCTCCTTCACTCATGCTGCCAAACATGCCCTCGTAAAACTGACTATCCTACCGATCCTTGACTTCGGCGATGTAATTTACAAAATAGCCTCCAACACTCTACTCAGCAAATTGGATGTAGTCTATCACAGTGCCATCCGTTTTGTCTCCAAAGCCCCATATAATACCCACCACTGTGACCTGTACGCTCTTGTTGGCTGGTCCTCACTACATATTCGTCGCCAAACCCACTGGCTCCAGGCCATCTATAAATCACTGCTAGGCAAATCCCCGCCTTATCTTAGCTCATTGGTCACCATAGCAACACCCACCCGTAGTCTGCGCTCCAGCGGGTATATCTCACTGGTCATCCCCAAAGCCAACACCTCCTTTGGCCGCAATTCCTTCCAGTTCTCTGCTGCCAATGACTGGAACAAATTGCAAAAATCTCTGAAGCTGGAGACACTTATCTCCCTCACTAACTTTAAGCATCAGTTGTCAGAGCACCTTACCGATCACTGCACCTGTACACAGCCCATCTGAAATTAGCCCGCCCAACTACCTCATCCCTATATTGTTATCTATTTTGCTCATTTGTACCCCAGTATCTCTATTTGCACATCATCTCTTGCACATCTATCATTCCAGTGTTAATACTAATTGTAATTATTTTGCACTATAGCCTATTTTATTGCCTACCTCCATAACTTGCTAAATTTGCACACTGTATATTATATGTATTTCTGTTGTATTTTTGACTTTGTTTTGTTTTACCCCATATGTAACTCTGTGTTTTGTTTTTATCGCACTGCTATGCTTTATCTTGGCCAGGTCGCAGTTGTAAATGAGAACTTGTTCTCAACTGGTTTACCTGGTTAAATAAAGGTGAAATAAAAAAATAAAAAAATACAGTGGGGAGAACAAGTATTTGATACACTGCCGATTTTGCAGGTTTTCCTACTTACAAAGCATGTAGAGGTCTGTAATTTACATCATAGGTACACTTCAACTGTGAGAGACGGAATCTAAAACAAAAATACAGAAAATCACATTGTATGATTTTTAAGTAATTAATTTGCATTTTATTGCATGACATAAGTATTTGATAAAAAGTATCAGAAGTATCAGAAAAGCAGAACTTAATATTTGGTACAGAAACCTTTGTTTGCAATTACAGAGATCATACGTTTTCTTGTAGGTCTTGACCAGGTTTGCACACACTGCAGCAGGGATTTTGGCCCACTCCTCCATACAGACCTTCTCCAGATCCTTCAGGTTTCGGGGCTGTCTCTGGCCAATTCGTACTTTCAGCTCCCTCCAAAGATTTTATATTGGTTTCAGGTCTGGAGACTGGCTAGGCCACTCAGGACCTTGAGATGCTTCTTACGGAGCCACTCCTTAGTTGCCCTGGCTGTGTGTTTCGGGTCGTTGTTATGCTAGAAGACCCAGCCACGACCCATCTTCAATGCTCTTACTGAGGGAAGGAGGTTGTTGGCCAAGATCTCGCGATACATGGCCCCATCCACCCTCCCCTCAATACGGTGCAGTCGTCCTGTCCCCTTTGCAGAAAAGCATCCCCAAAGAATGATGTTTCCACCTCCATGCTTCACGGTTGGGATGGTGTTCTTGGGGTTGTACTCATCCTTCTTCTTCCTCCAAACACGGCGAGTGGAGTTTAGACCAAAAAGCTATATTTTTGTCTCATCAGACCACATTACCTTCTCCCATTCCTCCTCTGGATCATCCAGATGGTCATTGGCAAACTTCAGATGGGCCTGGACATGCACTGGCTTGAGCAGGGGGACCTTGCGTGCGCTGCAGGATTCTAATCCATGACGGCGTAGTGTGTTACTAATGGTTTTCTTTGAGACTGTGGTCCCAGCTCTCTTCAGGTCATTGACCAGGTCCTGCCGTGTAGTTCTGGGCTGATCCCTCACCTTCCTCATGATCATTGATGCTCCACGAGGTGAGATCTTGCATGGAGCCCCAGACGAAGGGTGATTGACCGTCATCTTGAACTTCTTCCATTTTCTAATAATTGCGCCAACAGTTGTTGCCTTCTCACCAAGCTGCTTGCCTATTGTCCTGTAGCACATCCCAGCCTTGTGCAGGTCTACAATTTTATCCCTGATATCCTTACACAGATAAGTAGAAAAACCTGCAAATACTTGTTCTCCCCACTGTATATATATATATATATATGTATGTATGTAAAAATTACAGACCTCTACAGTGTACCTATGATAAAAATTACAGACCTCTACATGCTTTGTAAGTAGTAAAACCTGCAAAATCGGCAGTGTATCAAATACTTGTTCTCCCCACTGTATATATATATATATATATATATATACATACATACATACATACATATACACATACATATACACATATACATACATACACATACACATACATATATAAATATATATACACATACATATACACACACACACACACACATACATACATACATACATACACATACATATCCTTTTAAAAAATATATATATATTCCCCTTTAATACTTTCCAACCCCACCACCCTTTCCCTACTTGGAGTAAACTAGTGATCAACAACGCTTAGGCCTCTACTTCCAGCCCATACCCACTATCTACATTTTATGGACACAGTCAATTTTACAATAATTATATTTTGTTCGTTTTTTCTCCTAAACTTTGACCTTTATTTGTTGCTGTCTCATTTCCCTGAGAGGTCTTCTCGTTCCTGAACCTCTACCCCTGCAGTTTCTGAGGGGAACAAAGACTCTTATGAAAGAAATATTTAGTGAAAGGGTGCATTTATTTAAAAACAATTTATATATTGCGTCTTAGTGCCATTTTACCTGGGAAAAAATATCTGTGTGTTCTTTCATTGCACCGTTGTATTATTATTTATCTGCTTTAGTCTTCTGGGAAAAAAACAGAAAGAGATGAGAAATAATAAATAAATAGAAGTGTTTGACAGACACAAGAAAAGTGAGGAGGGAGAGAGAACAAACGATAATAGGAGAGGGAGGGGAGGAGAGAAGAACAGAGGAGAGAAGAAATATAATAGGAATGCGTGAGCAAAAAATGCGGGTCATCGGTCGCCCGCCTCTGCTCGAGTCGTCCTGGTCTCTCCGACTTGCAGGACCTTCTCTCTCTCTCCGTCTTCTTGTCCGAGTCTGCTCGGGTTCCTTTCTCCGGGTCGGTAGCCTGCCAAGGGCGGGTTCGAGCTCTTCTTCTGATGCGGCATCGAGTCTCGCTAGTGATCGCGCGCATCCTCTCACCAGCGAGGCGATTGTCGGGCGCCTCCCCCGCTAGGCTCTAGCTCGAGCGCTTTCTCCCCTCCTCGCGCCCTCTCTCTCTCAGTTCTCTCGTTCCCCCCCTCGTTCTCCTCTCCTCTCTCCCCTTCTTCCTCTTGGCACCTCTCTTTCTCCTCTCTCTCCCCAAGGCAGTGAACCCTAGTCAGCAGGGAAGGAGGACTCTATAATGCCTCTCCCAGTTGGCCCAAGGCCATGTAACCACAGGCCCCGGGACCTCCCTTAGCCCTGTCCTCGCCGCCCCAGCTCCCACCCCGCACCAGCCAACCAGCCCCTCTTGACCAAAGGGGGTCACCCCCAGTGAGCAGGAGTTACTGTTTGTCACTAAGCCGCTTGGCTTGGGGGAGCCAGTGTTTTCAAGCCTCAGTGTCAAACCGGGCCATGAATGCAGAGGGAAGCTGTGAATAATCTAGGGGCCTTAACAGACAAAAAAAGCGAAAAATAGGACAAAATGGGAGTGAAAGAAGCGCTTTGTCATATGATTCCCTCACCTTCTGGAAACCCCAGGATGCTGGTGTTCATTCAGGGGGAAAGTGGAAAGTCGTTACACCCCATTTCCAAAATGGCTGCATTTTTCGAACTCTTTATCTTTCTGCTCGGTCGGAATAAAGGCAGGGTGTTGTTGAAAGACATTTAGGTTCTGAGGAAACGCAGGCATCCATTGACAAACTGCAAAGGCATTCCAATCCGGAAGCACTAATGAATGGTAAAGAAAGAGCACAAAAATGCCATAAATTGGAGTGACCATATTTTGTCTCCATGGCAACAAAACATTCTGCGCTGCTCTGTCTCGGCATTGTTATTACACATTACCCTCTGAGTGAGAGATTACAGATTGGCATGCCGCAATTACCACCTTCACTTTGAGTGGGCAGAGTCCCCCCATCATCATCTTTCATTTTGCTGTATTCCGGCAGATAGACAGGGTGTTCCAGTAGAAATAACAATAATACTACTCTATTTTTAAGTTTGGAAGTGTAAGGGCTTTTATGATAACAAGACATTGTTTGATGCGTTCAGTTGTTCATAAACGTATTACTGTAAGCGTTGTAGATATTACTTAGTCCTAGATAGAGATATTACTAATTTGAGGTATTGTTAAGAGGCTGTAGTAGTTTATATACAGTAAAGTATGTACATTATAAAGAACTTAGTAGTTAATACACAGTATGCAATGGCTTCCCAGCGGGCGAAGTTGGTTGAAATGATGTCTCTACAACCCGTTTTCAACCAGAACTGTATCTGCTGGACATTTTGAAGCTGACCAAATAAGGGTAAATAACCTTTATTAGAAGCATGAACTTGGTGATTTAATGATGTGAACTTTTTCTTAATTCTATTAAGACAACATAGAACGGCTAATGAATAAATAACTGCCCTCATCTCCTTCTTGATTGCACCATACTGCCCAGTCTAACTTTAATGTTTATACTTTACCTTTGAACTTAAAGCATATGGGAGATTATCATGCTCGCTCAGTACTGTAGATATATGTATCCAGAATCCACAGACTCTGACTCTCTGAGGAATGAATTATGTTTCTAGTCAATTATCACCTTTCTGAACTTACTGTGTAACTTTGATCTCTGTCAAAGGAGAAAAAAAAGATCCGTCTTTTTCTATTGATTATCTGTGGACTTGCACTTATTGAAGGCTTGTACTGACTGAATCATTGTCCCCTTTAAAAAGTCAACACAGTCCTGAAGGCCATCGACAGTGTGACTCAGTATCATATCCCAATAGACTCAGGCACACACACTCACACCGTGTCTGTCAACGACAGGGAGTGAGGTAGCTGCCGTCACTTTAGTCTCTCTCACCTCTCAGGCCTTTTGTGCACCAACATGAGCTAGCTAGTCATCCCATTCCTCAGCTGTTCCTGTCGACGCACTGAAGTACACCCGTCGGCCGCATAAACAAATGAAATCAAACGGCCCGTCACCAGCTGTGTGTTAGTCAGAGATTATGTCGCTTTTGTGTCTCCAGGAAGGGAAGTGATTGCGAGGGAGTTTCAAGTGAGGATGAGAGTGATTGCTTAAGCGGTCTGTCAAAGTACAGTATGATGTCTCCTCTAATCATTCAACTCCCAACTGCTCTCTCATCAAACATAGAAATAGTATGTTAATAATAACTCATATTTAAAAGGGGTGTTTAAGTCTATTGCTATGCTCCTCTTTCCGGCTGGAAGTTACTCAAAGAGAAGATTTGTTTGTTGTTTGAATGAAGGTTTCCAACGGCTGTTGGGAATTGCTTCAACTTGTCCTAGCAGGTTGTCATTCCTGTCAATATCCAACTTGATCTCTTTTAACCCTAAAAGTGCCAACATAATTTCGATATCCTGTTTTTGATCCTGAAATGTTGGACTTTGTCAAGCAACTACTTACCGACAAAAAAACACAATTTACCATGATTTCTGTGTGGATATGGAAGAATGAAAAATAATCTATATTTTATATAGTAGTGGTGTGCGGCTAACATGATGACCAAACCGGCCTTGAGTTTGTCTATCCCCACCGGACACGCAGGTTGAAATATCAAAACTAACTCTGAACCAACTATATTCATTTGGGGAAAGGTCGAAACACATATGAAACATTCATGGACATTTAGCTAGCTAGTTTACTGTTGCTAGCTAATTTGTCCTGGGATATAAACATTGGGTTGTTATTTTACCTGAAATGCACAAGGTCCATTTTTTGTGCTGGATCTTTGTAGAATTTTGACCCATTTTGAGCCACACAAAATGGTGTGTTCTCTACTGTCTTCTTCCTTCGTCTTCTTCCTTCTTTTTCATCTTTCTTCCTTCTTCCTCCTTTTTCTTCTTATTTCTTCTCCTCCATGGCGGTTGGAGTGTGGACCTCATCCATCTTTCAATCACCTACGTGGGTATGTGCTCCTAAATACCAATGAGGAGATGGGAGAGGCGTGACTTGCATCGCATCAAGCGCCTAAAATAGAACCAAGTTCTAATTTAGCGCCTGGCTACACAGACACTCGTAGACGCATGCGAGCAGTTTGGATGAAATGATTGAATAACATGTATGTGTACATTTATTTTGCAACGCTTGCACACGCAAAGCGGGCGCTGTGGTCAGCATGTAAGCTGAAAATGTTGACTTAATAGTAAACTTTGTTATAAAAGCACCAAATTTGTCACCCTGAAAATATATAAATATGGAGCCATCCCAGATTTGGCCCCTAGGGGGCGTAGCAGCCACTATAACTTAAAAATAACACTTTTAATAAATAACAGACAAATGTATGTTGAAACATCAAATTTGACTATAATTGTCAGAAAAGTGTCTTATTTTGTGGAATTTAAACCATTTACTTGTGTTACTGTGTGGTCCTCTGTAGCTCAGCTGGTAGAGCACGGCGCTTGTAACGCCAAGGTAGTGGGTTCGATCCCCGGGACCACCCACACACAAAAATGTATGCACGCATGACTGTAAGTCGCTTTGGATAAAAGCGTCTGCTAAATGGCATATTATTATTATATTATTACTGCTTGACAGACAGTGTCTCTTTGCAATAATTAACAATTTGCGGTCGAAAATGACCCCAGTTGGCCCTTTTACGATACAAATATGTTGCCACTTTTAGGGTTAATATGCAGTTTTCTGATAAGACATTAGACATGATGTCATCTATTTTGATGACGTCATCTTGTTGCCTACATTCAATATTTTAGATTCAAAGGCCTCTTTGTTTTCTGCACAGTGATGTTATATTCATTCCAGTAATGCCATTTAAGCGGTTAATCAAACATAACAAAGGAATTGGAGTTTAAAAAACAGTACACCAGTGTTACTGAAGGACCGACATTTCGTAAAGCCTGCTTTAAACTTTCTTCTTAAGTACCTTAATAGTCCACACACCACCCAGCCAGCTACCCAAGGCAGCAACTCTACTCTTCATCGAACCACCCTCCTTTGAATTTAAGCTTCCATTTCCAAGACAGCCCCGGGGTTGTGGAGGCACTGTTTAAATAGCAGCTAAAACCCCAGCCGAGACTTGGAAAGATAGACCTGTTGTTCATCCACATACAGGCCATTACTTAGGTGGTGAGTGTGTATGCCGGAGTTGGCTGGAGGTAATATCGAGCCACCTGTAAGTAGCACCATTCCCTAGGTACCACCGGGGTAAATCAATGGTGCCTCTCAATGGGATGATGGAAGGAGTGATGCTAAACCCCATACATCAGTGTCCTGGTGGGGTGTCTGAATCGGAAATTATGAAGCTACCATGATACGTTCTAGGCTTTGGACAGTATAGAGGGCACAGTCATTGTGTGCACAGTTCATATGATGTTAACTTATAACCTATTATAACTTCTAACTTCCATCCATCCACCTATTTACAGTAGCTTTCCATCCATCTAAATCTTGATGTGGCATGATAAGCTGTTGTGGTCCCAGTGTCTTGATGTTCATACAAAAAGAAGGTCATCCATGTGCTTTTATGTACGTTTATTTAGAACAGGATAGGATAGGATAGGATGAACTTTAATGTCCCAAGGGGAAAATTGTCTTAGACACGCAGTACTGCTGTATACAAAATTGAGACTGTACATTACACACTCAACTTAATACATACAGTGGGGAGAACAAGTATTTTATACAGGTTTTCCTACTTACAAAGCATGTAGAGGTCTGTAATGTTTATCATAGGTCAGGGACGGCTTGTTCAATAGGGCGATATGGGCGACGCACTGCCAAACGGGAAAAGGAAGGGATTTTTTTTCTAATCAATTATATCACGGCAACAGCAGTTATCAGTGTTCACGTCTGATCTGCCAGCCACTAAATGTCAAATCAGGCTAAAGTCGTGCTTCAAATGGCCCCGCCCGTTTTTTGGGCGATTTCAGTCAGGTTGAAAATCGCCCAGAAGTCTCTCATAGCCTGTCATGTAAAATCTATTTTGTTCACATTTCAAAGCTTTCAATACATTCTCTATGGGTGTCTGTGGGCATGCACTTACGCGCTTTCGTCATACGTGACGTAACGTTGAACGTAACTAAGTCAATGGCGGCTAGCAGCGTCTATGTTGCGACCTGCAGTGTGGCGTTATTTTATGTTTTTAATTTGTAGACTTAGTTTACAAACATTCTGCAAACATTCTGCTTTGGACTGATCTTCGGTTTTGGACTGATCTTGTTGATCGTGTACATACCCGCTACGAACGGACTAAATAATGAAAACGCTGCTGGCAGCGGAATCCCAATACAGCTGGGAGACTTGGCTGGATGACAGAGTCCCGGACAGAGAGGTGGAGCCGGCCGGCTTCACCCTGGTCAGAGCGGACCGCGATCCTGGTAAGAGAGCGACTCTGTACCCCGACATTGAACTGCTTTCTGTGTCATTGAACCTTACTATTGTTGATAAAACAAGTTTACTGGAGAACGGAGACCAAGTAGAGACTTTTGGACAAGGTGGATAATTGTATAATATAAGGCAGTTTATTCAGAGGTAAAGATATCTGGAATCGCGTGCACGGACCCGTTCGTCAAACTCGTAGGGAGTTTATCAGAAGAGCCCCTAAACATTGTGTGCTGACATTTTATACAATAAAATGAAGTAGGTTGAATCTAGTGGTTCTGATCTTCTGATTGGTCCTGATGAGTTGGGCGAGGTCACCTCCAGGCTAGTGTCACTGTTGCATTGGCTCTGAGTCGGGTTCTCTGTCTTCAGATGTTCAGCCTAAGAGAAGAGGATTTGTGTGTGTGTGTGTGTGTTTGTTATCAGTGTGTGTGTGTGTGTGTGTGTGTGTTTGTTATCAGTGATGATGTGTGTGTGTGTGTGTGTGTTTATCAGTGATGATGTGTGTGTGTGTGTGTGTGTGTGTGGGTGTGTGTGTGTGTGTCCTCAGGGCAAGAACTCGTGAGTTGGAAGAACTGAGAGACCTATGGCGTGGGTGTTATCCTTAGCCACCTGCTGACAAGGCTGACAAGATAGGACTCTTGTTCATTGTATTGAATACAAAGGCCCAACACAAAATGGGTCATGCACAAGATTTTAGTCAGACCAAGCTATAACCTTATATATTTACTACGACAGTACATTCAACCAAAAGCTAATATAACAAAGGCATCAGAGATTATTTATAATCTGTCACAGAAACTGGAATCCATCTCCCCAGATCAGTCAATAAATGCTTCTGGTATTGACTTATATGCTGCCCCTGTCTTCATGTTGTTGCTGGACATATCTTTTTTAAAATGTGTGTAGGTCACCTAAATCATCAGAAAAATTGCCCCTCCTGAGAATTTTTTCAGGAGCCGCCACTGTCATAGGTACACTTCAACTGTGAGAGACGGAATCTAAAACAAAAATCCAGAAAATCACATTGTATGATTTTTAAGTAATTAATTTGCATTTTATTGCATGACATAAGTATTTGATCACCTACCAACCAGTAAGAATTCCGGCTCTCACAGACCTGTTAGTTTTTCTTTAAGAAGCCCTCCTGTTCTTCACTCATTACCTGTATTAACTGCACCTGTTTGAACTCGTTACCTGTATAAAAGACACCTGTCCACACACTCAATCAAACAGACTCCAACCTCTCCACAATGGCCAAGACCAGAGAGCTGTGTAAGGACATCAGGGATAAAATTGTAGACCTGCACAAGGCTGGGATGTGCTACAGGACAATAGGCAAGCAGCTTGGTGAGAAGGCAACAACTGTTGGCGCAATTATTAGAAAATGGAAGAAGTTCAAGATGACGGTCAATCACCCTCGGTCTGGGGCTCCATGCAAGATCTCACCTCGTGGGGCATCAATGATTATGAGGAAGGTGAGGGATCAGCCCAGAACTACGTGGCAGGACCTGGTCAATGACCTGAAGAGAGCTGGGACCACAGTCTCAAAGAAAACCATTAGTAACACACTACACCGTCATGGATTAAAATACTGCAGTGCACGCAAGGTCCCCCTGCTCAAGCCAGCGCATGTCCCGTCTGAAGTTTGCCAATGACCATCTGGATGATCCAGAGGAGGAATGAGAGATAGTCATGTGGTCTGATGAGACAAAAATA